TGAATGTATGTATGTATGTATGCATGTACGTATGCATTCAAGTGTATGTCGACCTATCTGTAGCATATTTGCCTCTTTCTCTTTCTCCATTCGCTTCCCTCCTTTCTCCCTTTCGTGGCACAAAAAAGGCGTTGGCGAGAGATCGATGAATGAACTTATTAATTGGCTCAGTTCGACGTGCCCTTCTGTGCCCATTCATGTCCTCCCTGCCCGCCCCTGCCTCACAAGCCGCCCCAGGCCCTCTCCCCCCCCCTCTCTTCTCTCTCTCTCTCTGTCTATCTGTCTCTCTCTCTGTCTGTCTATCTTTCTTTCTATCGATCAGTCCTATCTATATTTCTATCTATTTATCTATATATGTGTGTGCGTGTGTGTATATGTGTGTATGTATGTATATTATATATATATATATAATATATATATATATATATATATATATATATATATATATATATATATGTATGTATATATGTATGTATTATGTTTAATATATATATATATATATATATATATATATATATATATATATATATATATATTATATATATATATATTATATATTATATATATGTATGTATGTATGTTTGAATGTATATATATATATATATATATATATATATATATATGTATGTATATATATATATATATATATATATATATATGTATGTATATATATATATATATATATATATATATTATATATATATATATATATATATATATTCTCCTCCCTACCTACGTTTGTTCTTCTCCTGTGCCCCATCTCCTTCCGCTCCATCGGGCACGTCGTTGGCGTTCCTCCTGCCCACTCATGCCCGCTTCCACATACCCAGCTGGGACGCCGTGCCCGCCGACACATGCCTCTGCCATTGATCGTCCATCTTGTTTCTCGTTCGTAAAACATGCCTTGTGCTAGAACGGTTCGCTTAGGAATTATTATGGCAATGTGTAATCTGGATTTCGAATTCGAAGTTTTTTTAATGCGATTCGCCGTCTGTCATGTCAAGTACCTTTCAGATATATTCCTATCAATGGACAATGACCTTTGACCCTTCCCCGGCGACGGCAGAGGAGCGGGCACTTAGTTCGCGCAGCGGGGCATCCGCGTCCCAAGGGAGGGCCGGGGAGGAAAGGGGAGGAAGGGGGCGCGGGGCACAATGCCCAAGCCTTCATGAACTTCTTGTGACCTTAAACAAAGCCGCGAGACAACTGCCACGGCCTCGGCTCCTCCCTTTGTTCCCGGGGCTTTCTTCGGCGCCATTCCAGGGTCTCCTTCGGCGGGGAGAGCGGCGAGGGAACGGCCAACGGTCAGCTGATTCCTTCCGACCGACGCTGGCGTTCGGGGGCGCTGCCGTCTCCTCGGTCGTTTCTTGTAGCATGTGTCAGCTGCTTGACCACCTGTCGGAATCAGAGGCGTGGTTCTGATTCACCCTGTAACTTTTATCAAAGTTATATATAAAAAATAAATAGATGAATAAATGCGCTGATTTATCGTCTCATGGGTTCGAAAAAGTATAAAACACCGGCTAATCACATATAATTAATAGAACGTACTGAAGAGCCACTTATAAGGTCACCTGGAAGCTATGAGACAATGCTCTGTTGTATTTTCTGACAGCTTGGGGTGTAACACTGAAAGGAAACAATCTACTTTCTCTAGATGTTCAAATGATTCATCAAGAGAAGGCAAAGGTCCTAAGAAGCAAGAGGTTGTGTCTGTGTGTGTGAGTATATACGTGCAAGCAAACGCGCAGTTCAAATCCTATCTATTCGACGAATTATCAATATCATGTGAAACCTCTGAACATGACAATAATTGTAAGGCAAGCTATCACGATTCCTGTGGCAGTGAAATAATAATAATCATTCTTACAACTACTTGTGGCTGTCGTGACCGGATGGGTGTGTGCGGGTGTTTTGATTGATAGATTTCAACTAAAATCTTTTTGACAGATATATAAATGTATGTGCATAAAAATCTACAAAATCACTTTTGGTACTTGGTAAAAAAAATGTACATCAGACTACATTTCTCAACCGGGAATGCTCTGCGACGCCCCTGCGCTGGCCGTCGTCTGTGCGGAAGGAAACAGTAAGTTTCTGTGCTTCTACAAACAAATCCTGTTAGCTACAGATCATTTCAATGCAGTTCATTGATATTACCGAAAACAAGCTTCGGGCGGGCATCAGAAAATGCGTTTTGAATCAAATTCCGTGTAAATTCCTGCGCCGCATAGACGATGAGCGGGAGCCAAGGCAGCCGCAGGACGCGAGTGGGCGCCAGAGAGCCTCAACAGGACGGCGACCGGGAGGCCAGCAGACGGGGTACGAGTAGGAGCCCAGTAGCCGCAGCAGAGGAGCGGGAAGGGCGGCGGGCTTGCTGCTTCAAAGAGTGTAATGGAGTGTGTTAAATCCACGCTTTGGGGCGGGCGGGTGGGGCTGCCAACAGGCCGCAACAAATTGTTCTTGTTGTGTTCAGACCCAAAATGGAGCTGGAATGTCA